TGTGCTAAGATCACTCTGCTGTGTCACTGACACTACAGCTTCCTGACCAGAGGCCTGCACTAGGGGCCTTTGGAACAACCTAATTCAATATTGCTAAGCCCCACTGTGACTGCAATCTAGTTGAGTGGTTTCCATCCACAGCACTCACTCAAAATGTCCTAATAATTTGTGAAACGAGACAAATGGATTACAGCATCTGCAGGAGGCCACAGTTTCCTTCCGTCATAGTTGAGTTGGGTGGATGCATCTTGCTGGGATTTACAATCCTCCTAAAGATTCCTCAGGGTAAAGTCCGTTCTTGTTTAATTGAGCTTGGATTCTTTTCTCCTTCCGATTATCCCAACAGGAGAGAGGACAGATAGGTTCATGCCAGAGTTAAATCACTTCATTTAGCCAGCATTTTTTGTTTGTTTTTGAAAGAAAATCTACAAGTCACTTCAGGGCACACACACCTACTTTAATAGTTTTGTTCTAGCCCTTAGGAGGAAATTGCAATTTATTTTCATTCATTTTATTGCAGTGACGTAAACATAATGTAAAGTTAGACATTTGAGTATTTTAAAGCATAGAGTTGACTGGTATTAAATACTTTCACAGGGTTGTACAACCATTGCTGCCACCTGTCTCCAAAGCATCATCATCCTGAAAAGAAACTTGGAACCCTTGAACAATAATTTCTCATTCTTCTCTCCCCTCAACTGTTTGTTAAGCACTCCCCCACTTTCTGTCTCTATGAATTTTCTTATCCTGAGTTGCAATATTTAAATAATGGGCATATATATTTGTATATATACTTAATTACCATAGTTTGACTTGTGAGTTTTTAAAGGGCTTTTTAGAAAATAATACCATTGTAAGAGACACATTGAAGAGCATCTGGGCTTACAAGGGTTGCACTTAAACATTTTTGACTTCACGGTAGGTTTATTGGGTTATTAAATGCATTTCCAGCTTATAATATTTTCGACTTTCAATGAATCCGGGCTCGGCGCCTATAGCTCAACCGGCTAAGGCGCCAGCCACGTACACCTAAGCTGTCGGGTTCGAATCCCCAGCCCGGACCCGCCAAACA